CTCCTTTAGGCTGTGGCTCTGGCTTCCTGGGTCACAGTGGCCCTGTCCACCCAGGGCTCTCCCTGGGTCTGCTTTGCTGCATCTCTTGGAGGCTGGGGCTGAGGACATTACCTAGCACAGAATGTGCCACCCTGGGTGGCCAGGCCCTGGCCCTCCCTGTGGGACATAGTTCTAGGAAGCAGGGACTTCCCTGCTCGTAGGAGGGGAAACTGCGGACTGGAGAAAGCAGGTGTGCTCCAGGCACCCAGTAGGTTGGTAACTGAGAAAGCAGGGTCAGCTGGCTCGCAGGCCCAGGCCCAGGTAGGAGAACTGCACACCTGCTGGGGCCAGGACCCAGGCCGTGGTGCATGGTGTCCTCATGGCGTCTGTCGCCCGGTCCAGGCCTGGAAACCTCAAGCACAGGCTCAGATGTTTCCCGTTGTCAGATGCAGCCCCAGGGGGAGAGCCCAGCCCAGCCCAGCCCAGGCCACTTGGCCACAAAAGGGCTGAGGGCACAGCAGTCCATCCAGCCCTGAGCAGACCTCCCCTACCCCACAGGGTGGGAGTCTGTCCAGCTTTTGTGGAGTTGAGGAGGAGGCTGCCATTGGCAGTGATGAATGGGGAGCCCGAGACCTAGAAGTGGGCAGCATTGCAGCCAGACAGGGATCGCAGCCCTGGGACAAAGGGCTCTCACCTCAAGAAGGTTTAAGCGGCAAGGGTGGAGCTACTGTTGGTCAGCGCTGGTGGGCAGGAGGGCAGCCCCTCGTTTTCCTGAGAGAGAGCAGGAATGAGGCCAGGCAGAGTGACCAGGCTCCCAGTGCAGGGCAGGACAGGGGCTCCGGTCAGTGCCCACCTGGCTGCCCCATGCTCTCTGGGGCCAGGGTATGAGAATTTGTGTCCTCCTCCCAACAACTTGTTCCCCCAGAGCTGGCGTAGCCCCAGCATGTGGGAGGCCGTGGGGCTTTCTCCTTGGGGCCGGTGTCATGCGGCAACCTGGGTCTGCCAGTTAGGGGAGGTTGCCTAGGAGGGACCCAGGGACCTGGGAGGGTGGTGGCAGTTCTGATGACATCTGTCTGTCCTGTGATGGCACAGCTGCTCCCCAGGCAGGCTCTGCATCTCCCGCCTGCTTTCCAGGTGAACCCTCCGAGCCCAGAGGGCAGGGACTGCCCTGGGCCCCCACGACATGGTTACACCAGTCCACGTCCGTGTCGTCTATGTCCTGCTGCCTCCTCCGTCCTCTGTCCGGATGCATTCCTGTGTTCACCGTGTGCATGCGTGTATGTGCTTGTTTTGATGCAGGGACCACCCTCAGGTGAAGACTCCCCCAGGTAAGCTTAATGGGCAGTCCCCGGGCCTGGCCCGGCTGGGACCTACCACCGGCCCCCCAGGGCCCTCTGCCAGCCCTACACAGCACACGCTGATTAAGAAGGTGTCCGGCGTGGGTGGGACCACGTACGAGATCTCGGTGTGAGGACTGACCACCACCCATCTGCTGTGGTGCCACGGGGACCAGGACCCCGCAGCGCATCCCCCTCCCCACCAACTTCTCTGCCCCAGGAACACGAGGCCACCCTAGCCTGGTATGGACCCATCAGCGGGAGAGAGTGCCACGCCTCCACACCTTGCCCCAGGCGCCCTGCCTGCCCGTCCACTCATCTGGCCATGGGGAAGTTGGCTCACTGGGACAAGGGCCGCTGGGCTGGTCTGTGTCTGGGCCTGTCCCATGGCTAGGGCAGTGAGGGGGGCCTAGTCAGCCTCTTTGGGGCACCCTCTCTCAGCCAGGCTTGGCCCACTCCCATCACCCATGCACCCCAGATCATTGCCAGGCCAGCCCCCAACGGTCCCTTTACGGCCGGGTCCCAGGGATGGACAGAGGCATCCAGGGCCTCCGCTGTCCTTCCGACACAGCCTGTGGGCTCCCGGACCGAGTGTCCCCGCCAGGCTACTCCTAACTAACGCGTTGCCTTTCATGGACCCCGCTGGGAGCTCGTAGCTTGGCAAGGCTTATGCTTCTGCTCTGGCCTGTTCTGGGTGGTGGTGGATAGGTGGACAGATGGCCAGCCATGTGTCAGTGTTCCAGCTGCCACTGTCCCTTTCATCAAAGCCTCAACCTTTGCTTTATGCTCTTGTGGGAAGTGACGGGGCAGACGGGAGCAGACACAGGGATGATGCTGCCACGGGGCCTGTGACACCCAGAGCCCCCTCCCCAGCCCTCAGGCCCTCCCTGCCAAACTGGAGAACCCTGCCCCAAGGCATGCCACGTCCCCAGCCCTGGCCTGGCTGTGGTGCTCACGCCATGGGAAAGCACACTGGGGAGGGGTTCGTGCTTCCTTTGGTGTCAGGGACCTGAGAATAAGCACAACGACAGCATCCACCTGCGTTGTGTCTGTTTTATGTTTTTATATCTACATCTATATATCTATAATTTTATTAAAAAAGAAAAGCTTATTTTGATTCTTCCCTTGGGCAAGACCAGGGCTGTTGCTGCAGGACCCCCAGAGTTAGGGGAGGGCAGAGGCCGGGCCCTGGAAGAGGGGGTGGCTGCTGTCTGGTGTGCAGGGGTAGGTGGGTTCCTCGGGGGCATTTCTGTGGGCTTGGGCTGAGTCAGAGGCTTGGGAAGAGGGCGTGGCCGATGGTCTATGGCTGGGAAGTGTGAGGGTCTCTCGCCTTGTGTCTGCATCAGTTCTGGCAGTGATGGGGTGTTTGGGGGAAAGACTTAGGTCTGCCGCTACCCACAGGGGAATCCCAGGAACCCAAGAGCTTGGCGAAATGAAGTGTGGGTGCATAGGGGCCACCTGTTGGCTCAGGGCCATGTGGGGGCTGCTGAACCTGCTGGAACTCTCCTGCCTGACAAATGCCAGGGGCAGGGCTGAGGGAGTGTGAGGGATGCGCAGCTGTTCAGGGCTGAGACAGCCTGGGCTGGGGCTGTCCCAGTGCGGGAGGGGTGCGGGCTGTAGGGCCCCGAAGCTGGCGCTGTGCTGACCACCTTTCTGCTTCTCTCTCATGGACGCCGCGGCCCACAGGGAGCGGATTGGCACCTGTACCCGTGGATGGGGGCGACGTGACCAGCCTTGGGTGCCTCCTGGGCTGCACCTATGCCACCTTGGCCGCCTGGAGGACCGCCCACCACTGCGGGCCCCCTGGAGCCCGACCACCTGGGGCACCCCCCTGTGGGGCCATGTGCCGCCTGCACTTGGCTACCTAGTCTTTTCCCCAGCCTCTCCTGGCCTTAGCAGGATGACAAGTAGGCAGCTCTGGGGCCTGGGACAGCCCAGCTGGGGACCCAGGAGGTCAGACTGCCATGGATCCTAGGGCAGGGCTGGAGGTGAGCTGGGCTTTCTTCTCCACCAGCCACAGCTTGACAGACTGCCAGCCTGCCAGGGCCCGAGACCCTGTGTCCACGTGACCTCAGTGAGTCCCCCACCTGCTGCAGGGGGTCCAGCACCCCACAGGGGGCAGCACCAGAGCTGCGGGGACCAGCACAAACTTTGCTGAGCCTCCCTGTCCAACCAAGCTCTTTAGACCAAGCCACTTCCTCCTTGGGGAGCCCAGGCCTCCGTGGGTTGGGCTGGGTGGGGGGTCTCAGGTTGCCCCCGAAGGTCTCTGCACTCCTGCCCTTTGCTTGACACATGAACAGATGCCTTAATTTCCTGGAGCCGCCAGCGTGGTGAGCCACTGGCCCCTGCCTGCCACCAGGGTCCTGTGGTCATGGCCAGCTCTGTCTGGGCCCCACTAGGGCTGCCTGCACCCAGAGACGATGCTGCTGGGAGCTCAGAGGGCCTGAAGCCCAAGCCCTGTGTCCTCCAGCAGAGGTACGGCCTGTGGCAGGGTGGCACTCTGGCCAGCCCTTCTCCAGCACAGGGTCCCTGTCCCTGGTTTACCCTGGGCTGCTGCTCTATTTCTCCCATTTGGGGATGAGAAAGCCACAAAACTCTCCTGCATTGTTCTTAAGGGCACCCCTGCTAATTAATTCCCCAAATAAAATTTTTGGTGTTGATCTCCACGGCTCTGTCTACCAATGTGGCGCCCTGGGTTGGGGAGGTGACAGGACCTGGGTAGGGAGGGTGGTGGCCAGGAAGGGAGGGGAGTTGCATGAGGGGCATGAGGTCAGTGGATCAGCAGGTTCAGTGCTGAAAACCTGACCTCTGAGGTCCCCGGGAGGGCCTGGCCCAGGGGGCAAGACCTGAGGACCCCCTAGTCCTTACTGCTGTTGCCTTTCAGTGGAAACCCTCCTAAGACCCCTTGGGGGTCAGAGCCCTGTGCAGAGGGGCTGCCTTCTGGAGGGCAGGTGGGATGTGGGGTGGGAAACCAGCCCTGAGGCTGGGGTCTCCACCCTGAGGGACCCTCGCTGTCGGATGGCCCGGGTGTCTCTTCCCCAATTTCCACAGAGACGTGCTTACCAGCCATGTATGTCATGACTCTATGTCCAGCCACAGGCCCAGCCCTCAGGACAGACCCCGCCTCCACCCTTCCCTGCATCTCCCGGCAGGGATGGCGCACAGTGGTGCCGACATGGCCACTGGGCGTCTGGGGCAGTGCTGGTCGCCTGGCCTCCTCACTGGAACCGCTGGGCCTCCGGCCTAGGACAGGAGGCCATCCACCTCAAGGTGCAGGAAGGGGTCCAGCAGGGCCCGGAGCTTCCAGATGGTGGCATGGCTCAGCAGGGGTGGCACCAACCCCTCGAAGGGCCTAGGGTTCACCATGTACACATAGGCGCCCAGCAGGGCACCCAGCAGCAGCCTCAGGGTCAACAGCCTACGGGTGGCGGCAGTCAGGGGCAGGGGTGTGCAGGGGGCCTAGGGGCTGGGCTCTGCCACGCAGTCACCTACCAGAGCTGGCCTGCCAGGCCCTTGGAGCTTTCCAGCTTTGGTCTTCCTTTCTGTTGGGGAGGGGAGCCCACCCCGATGGTCCAGGCTGAGGGCGGGGATCCCTGACTTTGGGAAACCCTCCTCAGACAGGGCTCCCCCCACCACAGCCCTGGCCCCTTCCTCCTGGACAGGTTCCTGCAGCCACTTTTCAGATGCCCCCTGCCCTGGACCTGCTCTGCTGGAGCCCATTTCTCCCCCTCGCCCAAGCAGGGCCCTGGGTGGGGGGCTGGTCTCCAGATCCAGAGTGGGGCATGGGGGGCTCACTGCCATGCTTGCCATCTGCGGCTCCTTCCTGGCCTGACTGCGGCACTGGGCCTGCTCCCTGCAGAGGCCTGTCACGACCCCACGCGCTCCACCCCCAGCCTGGCACCCACCCCCTGGCTCAGTGCTATGGAGGTGGGGGGGTCAAGGGTGGATCTGCCCTGTCCTGACCAGGACCCCTTCCGAGACCCTGCTCAGCCGACCTGGTCCCTGCCACCATGTTACCTGAGAATCCCCAGCTAGATGTTGTCCTTCTGGTCCAGCACGCCCTGGACGTCCTCCTTGAGGTGTTGGGGGCCAGAGGAGGTAAGCACAGCAGGCCCCGGCCCCGCCCTACCCAGCCTCTCACCTGCCCGGCCCCATCCTTCTGGGTGCTGCTCTGTGGGGACCTACCAGCAGCCTGGTGGCCTGGTGGTTCAGGGCCATGTGCATCTCAGCCATGCTGTCGGGAGGATGGTGGGGTCACGCCTGAGGAGGACCCACTGGGTGGGCCCCCAGCACCCCTCCCCCTCAGCCAGGCAGGCACTTCTGTGATGACCATCTTCTCAAAGCACAGGTGGATCTGCTGCAGCTCGTTCTGAGGGTGGGGCCCAGGGTGGGCTTGGGCAGCATCAGCAGGGTGGCAGGTACCTCCCTGCCGGGCCCACTGGCCTGCTGCACGAAGGTTCCTCCCCCGATAGCCCTGCCCCAGGCCCACCGGCCTGCTGCACGAAGGTTCCTCCCCCTACAGGCCCTCCCTGAGGCCCACTGGCCTGCTGCACGAAGGTTCTTTCCTCCCCACTGAACCCCCAGGCCCACCTGGAGTGTTGCATGAAGGTTCCTCCCCCCACAGCCCCTCCCCCAGGCCCACCTGGGACTGCTGCACGAAAGTCTCTTGCCCCTGGCACAGCTCCTGCCACAGCAACTGCAGAGGTACCCTGTTCCCCAAGGGCTGCATGCTAGCTGGGTCGGGGGGCTGTGGGAGAGCCCCCAGATCAGTCCCAAGGCTGTGGGCTAGTGGGGCATTGGCTGCATGGGGTCCTTGGGCTCTGTACCAGGCCAGGGGAGTACAGCTTGAGTGTTTGGGACACAGGGGCAGGAACTGCTGCCCTGGCCCCAGGAGAGCCCCTAGCTGCTCCCAAAGGTCCTGGTTCTGCCTCTTCTGGGGGTGGGGGGCAGAGAGACGGGACTGCCTGTCATGGCCGCTCCTGGGGCTGGAGCTGGGGCTGGGGCAAGGGTGCCAGGGGGTGGGTGGGGTGCTCACCAGACTGTGATTCTCCTGCTCCAGCTGCAGGAAGGACTGTTCTGCAGAGCCCAGCGGCCCGCACTGCAGCTGGGACAGGGCTGCCCTGGGCGAGGCCAGGGCCCTTCCCTCCAGCGACAGGGATGGGCATGCACAGGGTCTGGGCCCTGAGCCAGTGGATCCCTCCTGCCTGGAAGCCCTCTGATTTGACCCTGGGTGCAGGGGCCAGCCCCACCTGAGCCTTGCTTCCAGGTTTCCTTGTCTCAGCCCCTCAGGGTTTCTTGCTGTCTGCTCCTTGCTGGACAGAAAGATCGCGGGAGCCTTGCTCTCCACCCTGGGCCCCCTGCCCCTGTCCCCTGCCCCTGGAACTGGGTAAGGTCTCTGGGACTGAACTGAGTGAGCAGAGGAGATGGGGACTAGGCAGGGCCACCCTACAAATCCCTGGCAGTGCTAGTCCAGGCATTCTCCATGGCTGCTGAAGGCTGCAGCTGGGGGACACGGTGGGGGTGGGGGTGGGGGTGGCCACAGGGGCCCAGGGTTTTCAGCCCCGCCATCCCTCCCTGCAACCCCTTCCTGACCCCAGGTCCAGGCTCTGGCCTGGCCTGACCTACTGCCCTCTTACTGAGGGCTCTGGGTGACTCACTGGCTCCCAGGCTGCCCCAGGCAACAGTCACAAAGGCCTGGGTGCAGCCAGGGAGGTCGCAATGGGCCCTTCCCACCTGGTCCTGAAGCTGCCCCACCTGATGACCCCACTGCCTCTGACCCACCGACCCACCATGTGAGTTTTCTTTCTTTCTTTTTATGGGAAGGGGCCTTGCTCTGTCACCCAGGCTGGAGCGCAGTGACACAATGATGTCTCATTGCAGCCTCCAACTCCTGGGCTCAGGCAATCCTCCCACCTCAGCCTCCCAAGTAGCTAGGACTACAGGTCTGTGCAACCATGCCCAGCTAATTTTTAAATTTTTTGCAGAGATGGCGGTCTCACTGTGTTGCCCAGGCTGGTCTCAAACTCCTGGCCTCAAGCGATCTCTTGCCTCAGTGTCTGAAAGTGTTGGGATTACAGACGTGAGCCACTGTGCCC